CCCATTCCTCTCTTGCCTTCAATTTTACCCTCGATTATAAGTTGGAGGAACTGGTATTTTTCATTTCGCATGATGTGACCTAGATACGCCGTTTTCCTTTTCTTGATGGTTTCGAAAAGTTGGCGTTCTTGGTTTTACAAACATTTTAACTAACTTAAAACGCGTTATGCGTTTAAAAAGTTATAACTTAACTTATAACTTTTTCAATTACCTGCGGGCAGCAAGACTTGACCATTACGATATAACACTGTGATGCCTCTCTCCAAATTTGTGATAGTCGTACTGAAAAACTACTCATCAAACGTTGATTATGACAGGGTTGTGTATTGTCACACCCAGTCTTTTTATTCTGTACTCTGAAGAAGGCTAAGGCTAAGGCTTTTATGACCTGAAAACCAGTTTCATGTAACAGAAACCTTCTTCTTCTTCTTCTTCTTCCTTCTTGTATGTAAGCTTTAAAGAATGTTTCTTCTTTAGTATTAGCCTCCTAAATTGTTTAAATTGTCGCACCATCTCTTTTTTTCTATTTTTCTTGGTCTGTCAGTACTTCTTCGTCCATTTAGTGACTTATCTCGTGCTATTCGTACTATTATATCCTCTGCCATTCTACTGATGTGTTCATTCCACTCCTGTTTTCGTTTTGTTACCCATCCATTTATGTCTTCTATATTGCATGCTCTTCTTACGTTTTCGCTTCTCTATATATCCAACAAACTTTTCGTTTTAGATGTGTCAGGTCTTGTCTCCGCCATGTATGTTAATATATTTTTAATTGCTGCTTTATAGATTCTTGTTTTTGTGTCTTGTATTATATGTTTGTTCTTCCAGATTGTGTCATTAAGAGATCGCACCGCTTTACTTGCTTTTAATCTTTGTTGTCGTACTTTTTCTTCAACATCTCCGTAACTAGTTATATCTATTCCCAGATATCTAAACATTGCTTCCTGCTTTATTATTTTCCCATCAATTTCGATTTTACACCGTAGTGGGTATTTAGATGTCATACATTTGGTTTTTTCTGCTGATATTATCATATTGTATTTCTTAGCTGTTGTATTATTGTATTGAAGATATGTGTTAATCTTTGCAGCTCTTCTGTCTCGGCGATTAATGCGGCGTCGTCTGCATAACATAATATTTGGATTTCTTTGTTCCCCATTCTGTAGCCATGACCTTTACGTACTGCTTGTATTATTTCGTCCATTATTATATTAAAGAGAAGTGGGCTTAACGAGTCACCCTGTCCGCTATACTCCGCTCTGTACTGGTATACACTGTGTTTGTTTTCCACTTATTTTTGCCTGTATTCGATTATGAAGGTAGATGTTTTCGATGGTTTGTATAATATTAATTGGTATATTTCTTTTATACAGTAGGTGTAAGACGTCTTTGACTTGGATGCGATCGAAAGCCTTTTTCAGGTCTATAAAATATAGATATGCTGGTTTATTGTACTCAATAGCCTTTTGTGTGTTTTGTCTTAGTACAAATACGACGTCTACCCAGGATCTTTGGAGAAAATGCCGGCGTTTGGGGTGGAATTATTTGTGATTCCACGTGCTTTTAATCTGCTACGAACTTATACCGCCGGTATTCTCTGAGGGTTTTTGAGTGGACTGTATTATTTTGAGTGTCTATTGTACGTAAAGAATACAAGTAACTTGTAACTAACATTTATTTCTCTACGTATTATACTTGACACAAACACAATATACAACGGGTACAATATACAATATACGTGGTTACACAAAGTTGTTATGTTTCACAATCGCGGAGACAACTTTTCTTATTGCTAAACACTTGAGAGAGAGCCACGCGCTCTGAGAATCGCTACTCACAAAATCACAAATTTGAGTATTAAAAGCACCATCCTTCTCCCGCGAGGGTTGCTAACAGAGAGAGAGGGCTTTATCTTTCGACCATCGGTCGCCGATGTCGGGGACAGATCATTGTTCGGGCACAGGGTTCCAATACCGTTAGAATTTATCCAGTACCGTTAGAATTTATTCGTAAGGTATTGGAATGAATGGGCGTCTTGGCCTACAGGGTGGAGTAAAGTTAATGAACAAGGGGAAATATACTATTTTAAAAATTACAGGGTTGTAAACAAAATTAGTTTACAACCAATCTTTTGGATCTGAATCCTTGTTGTTCATCTGACAAAGTTGTTAGTTTATTGATTTTGTTGGTTAGGACTTTTGTGGTAAGCAGTGTGCAGTGTTCAGTAAATTTATACCTCTATAATTGTTGGGGTCTTATTTGTTTGGGGGTTATACTTTTTCCTCCGTGTTTTAGAAGCTCGTTGGTTATTCCGTCTGGTCTGGCGACTTTCTATTTTTAAGTGAATTTATGGCCAGTTCTACTTCCTGAAAACTGATTTCTATGGTAACAGAATCCTGTAGATACATATTGGACATTAAAAACCACAATTCTTACCACATAGACGCATTCGAATTGTGGTGCTATCGACGGATCATAAAAAATATCATGGGTTTCGCATACTTAGAAGAATTATTTCGCGCAGAAGAAAGGTTTCAGGAAATTGTAAACATGAAAATGGAAAACGTCTGAATACGGACAAGGCACCTGAAGATAATATATAACAAGAAGAAATCATCTATTTGATAAATTTTTAAAAATATTGATCAAATTCGTTCAATTTTTTCTGTTTAGCGAGAAACTGCTAACGGTTGATGGAAATGTTATTGATTTTTTAAGCAATTTTTTTCAAGTTATATTTTATTCCATACTACGATCAATTAACGGAGCAATTAATGCAGCAACAATTTTTAAAAATAGTGTTTAAATAACATACTTTATTAAGTTATGAAGAGTGGTTGATATACATATAAAAAGAGTGATAATATCAGTCCTACATAGAGAGTCTGTGTGTTTCAGAAATAGGAGATGGCATTACTACAGAGAGATCCAATGAGAAATAAAAAAAGAAGACCCTTCGAAAAAGGTGAAGATGAATAAATTAAAATTTATAAAGGTCAAAAATTGGAGATATGGTAAACAAAATAAGATAAAATAGAAATAACTAATTAAATCATGTAGAAAGACCTGAACATGAAATATAATATGGTGTAAAAATAGAATAGAATAGTTTTTATTTTTGTTATTTCTAAGATGCACTTGTTTTATAATAATTATGTATGTATTTTGTATTATAAGTCTTCAAGGCTTATTTGTTTAAATAAATAACTCTTCGTTATTTTATTGAATCAAATACTCCTTTCTGCTAAACCTTGCTTTAAACTATAAATTATTCCTCTTTCATTGATCTATTCGTTTATATTTTATTCAAATTTTGCTTTTATTTTTTATTGATTTGTCACTTGATAAGTTGCCGACATGAGCTTATTGAAATCATGTTGTTGTCCGTTTGACTGACTGTAAGGCAACTCTTGAAGTTGTCGATGTTTTTACACGCACTAGGCATTCTAAAATGTCCCGCATCTTGTCATAATTGCTTTTGTTTGGGAGTTTTCTTCGTCACAGCCATCCGAGGAATACGTTGCTGGCAAGGCACGTTGTTCGTCCCATTGTTGACATTTTTTATTGAACCTATTGTCTATCCTTCCATTGTTGGATATAGGTCTCCCCTAGTTCTCTCCATCTTTCCCTATTTTGAGCTGTTCTCTGTCATGTGGGACCTCCTTGTTTTCTGATGTCATCTTTCCACCTCATCTGTGGTCTGCCTCTTGATCTCTTTGCATTGTCTGGACGCCACTTTCCGATGGCATTGTTCCATCGTCCGTCTTGGAGACGCTCATTGTGTCCAGCCCATTTCCATTTTAGTTTTGCTGCTTGTTCTATCGCGTCTACTGTCTTTGTTCTGGTTCTGATCCACTGGTTACGTTTTCTAACTTTAAGTGGTTTACCCAACATTTGTCTCTCCATCGCTCTTTGTGCCTTCCTTATCCTATCCAAATTGGCCTGTGTAAATGTCCATGTCTATGCTCCGTAGGTGAGCACCGGTATTTTACAGGAGTTATATACATTGCTTCGTAAGTATAGAGGGATTGTTTGATTTTTTAGAACGTAAGAAAGTTTGCCGAACGCTGCCCATCCCATTCTTACTCGTCTCGATATTTCGGCTGTTTGATTTTCTCTGTTAGCTCTGATTGCTTGTCCTAGATAGATATACTCTTACCTGTTCTATTTTTTCTGTTTGAATTTTTATTGCCTCTTGGTCTTCCAAGTCTGTTTGTAATTACTTTTTTTTTTGTTGAAGTTAATTTTTAGGCCTTTTTGCAGTGATTTTTCATGAAGTTCATTCAGCATTAATTCCAGTTATTGTCGTTCCGAGGAGATCAGGAGTATATCATCCGCATATCTAAGATATTCTAATATCTTCGATACATGACTGTGGATGATATCAGAATCCAATACTACAAACACCTATCTAAGGTATTCACAATCGAGAATTCGGGACACTATAACAATAAATAGAAAGAAACCACCTATCTTATCTACGAGGAATTAGAGTTAAGGACCACTGTCATAAATAGGTGAATTCTGAATTGGCAGAAGAAAGGAAGAATGAACTTATAAAATGAAAAGTCTTAGTAGTTAGCACTATAATTTAAAAAAACTTAAAATTAAATTAAAAACTTCTTGTATAATTGGTATATTCAATTTATAATAAAATTATCCAAAAGGACTAACAAAAATATCAAAACGTTTTCTACTTTATTATACCATCAACAGTGATACTTGAACATTTGCAAAGAGGCACTTACAATTAAGTTTACAACACTTTAGGCTTACTTGTAAAATGTCATTTAAACTTAAAATTTAACCACATAATGATTATGGATTTATTTAAAAGGGGGCATACTGCACCCTTACTGATTAATCGGCTGGTAACTTTAATTTCCCATTGATTCCTGTAATCTAATGTATAACGAAAGGTATATATAATTTGAATGATATAATTAATGTTCTATAACACTTACATCTAAAATCACAATAAATATTTTCTTTCATTTTAGGAACATTGGTCTGAAGCACACCAGGAGCGGTTAGAACTTCAACGTGCCAGAGTGCTGGAAGTGAATCGCCATCTCGCGACATTAACAGAAAGTTGGGAAAGAGGAGGACTTCCGCTTCATATGAACCTAGCTGTAAACCATTACCCGCCAATTCATCCACCTCCACAAGATATAACGAATAGATTAAAACAGCAAAACAGATTACTTACCGAGGTAAATATCACACTGTTTTAAAATATCAATCAATATTAAAAGCAAAGTTACATTGGTCTGCTAAAAGATAAATTCACGGCAGTTTACACCGTTATGTTGACATGTATACTATTTATCCCTTGGTCTTTAAACAGACAGGTCACTAGTATAGGTTTACAAGAATATTAAGAAAAACTTAAACAAGCTTTTCAGCAATACACAACAGATGCGATGAGTTTAATTGTTCTGTCATCACTGAAACCTCAGAATGAGGAATATCTCTCAGACAGCTCATAATCATAACACTGCTAACTTTATTCTAATTTAATAGAAATGTTATACGTTTCATCCTAGATCCTAGACCTAAAAACCTCCAAAAGGTAATTATAGATGCTACTGTCGACATTGTCGGTTTACATAATTATATTACCCAAATAAAATTATACTGTGTATATTGTAGCATCCATATTCATCCAAATTATAGCTTAACTGAGACCTAACTGGTTTGCCTCATATACCAACTTCCCTCACATGTCCTTTTTGCTGGAGATTTAAGTATCTGCAATACAATATGAGTTTCTGAAAAAAACTTCGGTTGGGGAAAACCACCGGAAAATTTTCCTTAATTGATTTAAGTTTATGCCCTCCAAGAATATTTCCCCAGCTTACATGGAAATCAGTTGCATATTTTTCTGATGTTTGGGCATCAGTATTTGTTTCTTATACCCTTTCTGGATAGCCCTGACAAGCTTCCAGTCCTCCTGGCTATTACTCCGCTTAACCTTATTCCATGATTTACTGCCGCGAATTCTAAGATCAGTTAGGATTTCAGTCCACCACGGGTGACCTGGTTTTTTACTAACCTTCCTGAGAGGACATGTTTCTTCCCAGGTTGATTTCATGCACTGCAGAACTCCTTTCGCCACAGCGTCAATCTCTTTAGGTGATGTGATCTCGTGCTGCAGACTCCCACTGCTCTGCCTTATATCATCAAGCCTGATCTGGTATTTCTGCCAATCCGTTTTCCTTACAAATCGAGACAACTTCATAGCCGTCTCCGTTGTAGGAATTCAGAATTTGATATAGGAGTGATCAGAAAATGATAGTTCCTCACTAACCTCCCAACCCTTAACCTCTTTAATATTATCTACAGAAGCTAAAGTTAGGTCTAATAGTTCAGCCTTTTTCTGTTCATAAATATTGGTTTGTGTCACTAGTTCCTCCACGATAGTTATGTTACAGAGAGAAATTCCATAACTTCTTTCCCTATTTGATTAATATTGGAACTACCTTAGGCGGTATGATATGCATTTGCATCACTTCGTACCAACAAAAGCAGATTGTTTATGTCACAATATCGTTTGTGACGATTGTTATGTTTATCGCCGGATAAGAAGATTTGTAACGAAAATATTTTCCCTACCTCAGGATAAGATTATGGTAGTAAAAATATGGCAAGCAAAATAAACGCTACTGATGCGAACGGCACTCAGGGTTTGTTAGGAGAGCTGAGGTCGTGGATAAGTAAATGGCAAGGGGTCGGATTGGGCAACTACAGAAAAAAGAAACAAAAGGGTACTAACATAATCTCTTGGGACAAACAAAATAAAAATAAACAGGAAACACCTAGTAATTTAATATAGGACGCCACTTTGAGGTGCCTAATTATACCTATTACAATCACTAGTTGTAACTAGGGAAATAATTATTAAACATAAAAAACATATCTTTTTCAAATAAAACTCAAAAAGGGGTTAGTTAAAAAAATAAACAAAATGTTAAGAAAACAAATTTTAACATTTATTGTGTCTTACCACAAACAGTTACAAAACATAGTGAATACAAGAATACTCAAAAAAGACAATACAAAAATATTACCCCAATAGTCGCAAAATACAAAAATATAAAAAACTTACATGTCATCCATTTACAAACTCTAGGAGTTGAGATACTACAAAAAGCTTACAAATATTACCGCACAGAGGTTAACCTTTTTTTAAAAAAAAAAAAATGAAAATAAAAATAATAAAGCGAGCTGTCTTATGTAAACATTAAATTTAAAAGAGAAAAGTTTAAAATGACAGCTAAACTCAAAACCTAAAATTTACAATGTTTTAAATGTTACAATTTCTAAATTTTAACGAAAGCAATTATTATTTTATAAAAAATTGTCTGTCTTTACTTTAAAATTTGAACAAAATGTTACCTGGATTTTTCACTAAAACACTTTGGATTTTCTGTAACTGGACGTCACTGGAATTTCTAGAACCATAACTGGGGTAGACCTGGGCTTCACTCTCTGTGCAACGAACATACGAACAAATCTATCTCCATACTGCCAAAAGCCTTGGATGATAACCAGGGAGAAACAAAACGAGGATGGAAACGACGATTCTTCCAATCCTCACTCAAACATTAACTGAACCATTAACTTCACACTGCTACACATTTTCTATTAAAAGGGGCAAAAACAGAAAATTTTACAAATTCGACATGAATTTGGACATAACGCTGAACCGCTCTTGATCGCAGCTCCAACGAGAGTCACGAAATTATCCTTAGAAATTGATCGCATAAGTTAGAATAAACAAACACTTTAAATGGATGAAACTCAAATCATTTAGAAAACGCAATTCAAGCAGTTCGAATAAAACATTAAAATAAATACCGAGGAAGTAACATCTGTAAAATATAAACAAACTATAAAATGGTTTATATTCTCGAGCCGACTTAAGAAGGAATTGAAAACATATTTGGTTTTTAATACGTACGATAGAAAGATATATATTAAAAAATATTCTTCATATATGAGGGGATTTCAATATACACCAAAAAAATCAATGAATTGCAAATGCTACAGATTTGGACTTATTTCATACCGTCCTCAGTTTCTCCTACATCTCACTTAGTCACCGAAGTGATCGACTGCTTATGGTGCAGAGGGCGGCAGAACTGGGACTTTAAATGAAATACCATTGCCTTAAGCGTGAATCCAGATTCCGTTTGGATATGCATAATGGCCGTGCAAGAGTGAGAATAGAAAGCAAGCAAATAGCAAGAGAAAGCTATCGGAATTATGCAAGCAGATCCTCTTTGGTATTTATCAGAAACAACATGACCTCTCTTAGTGACATCCAGAAGATAGTGGATTTATATGTTCCGACCACATACATCTAAAATTACGTTGGCTTATTTTGAAGACAATCAAGTAAATTTGTTACCTTGGCCATCTAGATTTTCTGATCTTTCACCCTTTGAAGATATCTGTAACATTATGGGACGAAGATTACTCAATTTATCTCATTCTCCACAAACTCTTCCGGCACTTAGGAACGAGGGACAAGTAGCCAGGGATGAGATACCCCATGAGAAATTTATTCTCATTATACCTCCAAATGTATTTCTGAATACAGAAGACATTGTGATCTTCCGATGCATTACTGTAGGTTAGTGATCAGTACAGTAGTATCTGGGGGCTCAGAAGCCATGAAGAAGACATCAGAGAGGATGGCGAAAGCTCGGCGTAGTGATAATCGACGCGGTTTAACCCGGATTTAATTTAATATTAATTCTTGTACTAGTATTAATCTTAGCTTTAGGTTTAATTGCATTAACCGCGGTCATCTTTCGCGGAAAAATATACAAACTTACAAATTAATACAAAAAAATGAAACAACACAAATTGGTACCTATTCAATTATCTTCAGAAACAAAAAAAAAACAAAATAAATAAAACCTTGTATTACGTCCACGACCCTGTATAACGACATGCATTCTTCTGCAAATACTATTAATTAAGTTTAAAACTTTATTATGTGGAATCACTTTCCATTCCTCTGAAAGAGTCACTTTGAGCTGATCTAAGATAAGAGGAGCAGGTAACCGACTTCTTTTTATCAAGCCTGTCCCAAAAATGTTCAATTAGGATTTAAATCAGAACTATGCGCTGGCCATGCAATATTGGTAATATCAACTTTATTTAAGTACCTATTCTCTAACAAATCAAATGGCATGAGGCATGCATTGTCAAGCATCAGTGTAATTTTTTTTTCAATAAATGGTGCATATGATACAACATCATTTTAAAGTACCTATCAGTGATTAGAAATTCCTTAGGGACAACGTACAATTATGTACACGACTCCGAAGATATACCAGCCCACGTCATAACTAAATCCCTTTGAAAACTTACTCTAGGGCATGTCGCTCATCATCTGTTCTCCAGACTCCTCCTAGACCATCCGGGGAACATCGATAAAATCTGTACTCATAACATCACATTTCTTCAGTCTTCTGCATTTCAATAGCAACATTCTCTAGCGACACGATGTAATGTAATCTGGCTACAAGATGTTCCCTGGAAAGTGCAGGTCCTAAAGCGGGTCGGGCATTCAGGTTAGCCTCATTTAACCGTCTTCTAAGGGTTTATTCACTCTGTAGTAGTTGAATGAAGATCTCTTATCTCTTAGTAATGAACACACTATAAACTGGTCGCCTCGATGAGTAGTTCTTCTCTGGGGACCTTTTCCAGGACGTCGAGTATAAACTCCTGTCTCTATAAAATGAGCAAAGATAGTCGCACTGTACTGCGTAAAATTCCGTATCTGTTATCTACGTAAACTTACTTCTTCCGTCCTGAACAATAGATGCAATCATTTCTACACTCAAAGACATCTTGAAAGTAGCAAGAAATGACACAAACACGATAATAACAAACACCTTTGACATCGATAAACAGAAATGTCATAGTAAAAACAATTGAAAGTGCGCAACCTCCTTGTAACACTAAAGTAAGAGTAAGAGAACAATTTTAGTATTATTAAGATTTCCTAACAATAACTGGAAAATTTAAATTTAAAAGACATTTGTTGTTAAAAATTATCTTTGGCGATTTCTGCTAAACCGTGTTCATTGTTATATATATATATATATATATATATATATATATATATATTATATATATATATATATATATTATATATATATATATATATATATATATATATATATAACGTTGACAATTTATTAACTATCATATTTTTAGAGACTTACCTGGATTTTTTATTGATTTAAAGTTTTTATTCAATGAAGATATGGTTGTGTCAGTTCAAACGCCTTTTATTTAAAAGATACTCCACCATCTACTACTATGAATCACTTTACCCTGTAATATCTTTTAAAAATATTCTACGGATAGGTTTAAGTTTTGCCTGTACAATTCGTTCGGTTGATTGAGTACCTCAATAGCTCTACTGTCAATCCCAAGTCTGAGCAATGACAAATTGAGGCTAAAAGGGTCTCGTTATTTTTATGGCATCCAGATATTAAGCATGACAGAACTTTACATATTTTTAAATTTTAAAAACTAATCAATCTCTTAAAAACTACAGTCTCTTAAGTTTATAATTATATAACGTCTGATTTAATAATTGTTTAATAGTTTTGAAATACAAAAATTACATTATTCTTGTATTTTTAGGAAGTTAGCAAAAAAAGTGAACGAATATCAGCACTGGAAAGAGAAAAGGCCAATCTAATCCAAGTCCTACAGATGAGATCAGTCCCTTCTAAGAGGAGTAATGTGCAAGAGGAAGCTGTATTTTAATTAAAAACACTAGTGTAATAATAAATATACAATTTATTCAATAAGATACATTTTTGTACAAACTTTAAAAAATGTGATTTTGTGAAGATTTGTGAGTTACCTGTTTTTATTATTTTTTTTTTGACAAAATATAAATGAAGTATTTGGTGCCATAAAATTATGAAGGATCATGACATTGTATTACAGAACATTCAACTGTCTGGAATTGTTCATATACACGATAATTCAGAAATGTTTAAAAATATCAATAATATTTTATAACACGCATGTTAGTTGTGATGACGCCATGTTTTATTAAAGTAGATGAATGTTGTGATTGTAGACAAATCAAACTGATTATGATATTACCACAGCAATTCATCTAAACGCTTCAAATAAATGTTTTATGGAAACGTTTGATATAGACTATAGGGTTATGGGCACAAGAAACTTGTGTTATTTAGAATCTTACATATTAAATAATTTGTGCCATTAAAATACATATGTCTTTTTAAAACAGACAATTTCATAATTTTAAGTAAGACATACTTACTTGTACCTATTTAGATACTACTGAATTATTATGTATTATATTTGAATAATTGTAAAAGAAGGACTCCATATCTCACTTAAGTGATAGAGATTTTTATATTTTTTGTAAAAGACATTAAAATATATCAACTGTTTATATTATTTTGTGAGTTTTTATTATTAAGTGATAAAGTGCCCAACAAACACCATTAGAGTATGAAAGTGCCCTTTATGTTCTTTATGAAAACGCATGATTCAATTTACACCAAAATGACAGTAACGTCATTCATTCTAATCATTCGTTAGGATTGGTTACATTATGCTAGGCGCGTGCTACTTGCTACTTGCCACTGCCACGCCACTTTGGTGGGCGCTCGCCCTATGCTAATTTTGTGCCGCTGAGAGAACGAACAACTGAAAGCTAAGCGCTGCTCAACTTCGAGGCGGCCTTAACTCATGGCTAGATACTGACTTAACAAGCTGGACGGCACAGACAGCAGAAAATTTTCAATTATCAGAGCAATTAAATAGCATATCGTCAGCAATAGGATAACTAAATCAAAGAAAAGATAATACTGTAGCATTTTAAATTTGATTGATTCTTTGAAGTATATTTAAAGTCGCCTCGTATATGAAATCGTCTTAATAAAACGAAGAATGTTTTCTGTTTTTTAGTTCGTATCTTTCGAAAAGTGTTTTCAATCATTCTAACGTCGTAGAGTAATAAATCCATTTAATTGTTGTTTATTTTACTGCGGCGATTTCTTTTCATGTAAATGCGTTTCAAAGGATATCTACGTCGTTCGTTGGTTTTGCTATTTCAGCAGTTCGTTGATTTTCAAGTTAAGCGAACAAATTTTTAATTTCGTCACTCTCGGTGAAACCGCTGTCAAGAGCGTTTGTAGTTTTATTGGAGTCCGAATTTTTCTTCAAATTCGTAATGTTTTTTCGTTTTTTTTTGTCATTTGTCATGGGAAAATGTGTAGTGTGGTAGCAGTTAAGAGCTCGGCGTGTAATCTTCAGAAAGCCGACAGATCCTGTTTGTGGAAAATTATATGTGTTGTATTATGTCCTAAATGGAAGATTTGTAAGGTGTTACAACGATATAAGAGGCCATCGTATTTTCAATGAAGTTTTGAAAATCCAAGCTTAGAAGTTTGCAATTTTTTTTTGACCCGAAGCCCGATGATCCAGCCGAACTTCAACTTCCTTCGTCTATTTGTTTGTCCCTGGTCATTCCAGACCATTCTGAAGCTTGGAGACGCTTGTGTTATTTTGTTGCAGTGTTTAGAAAACCAGTTCCAGCCCCAAAACTAATATTTGGTGAAGTCAGGTATTTTTTTTGTTAAATTTTTTTTTAAAGTAAAAAATAGACATTTATCATTATTAATTGCTTTCATGACAAGTTGAAAAATTGTAATAAGTAAAATTATAAAAATTAGGATTTGGCTAACTGTCATAATAATTATTCTTATACACATAACTAACCATAAGTTTTGAATTTCTTTTGTTTTTTTTTGAGTTGACCTTAATGTAAACTGCATTGAAAGATCTATATGATTTCAATTTATAAATAATGTAAGTTCTTATAGTGTCTCCACCGTCTAGAGTTGTAAACCGATAGCAACATTGCTTTTGTAATTATCATTTGTTTTGTAACTGTTTGTGGTGACACATAAATAAAGGTAAAATTTTGTTGTCTTAAATTTTTGTTTATTTTTTTTGGTAACCCTTTTTGAGTTTATTTGAAAAAGATATGTTTTTTTTATGTTTTGATTTTATTTTCTAATTATTTCCCTAGTTACAACTAGTGGTTGTAATAGGCATAATTAGGCACCTCAAGTGGCGCCCATATTAAATTCCTTGAGGTGTTTCTTGTATATTTTTTTTGTTTATCCACAGAGCCCTTTATTTCATTTTTCTGTAGTTGCCCCATTCCAATGCCCTTATCTTTTACTTATCCACGACCCAGCTCTCCTACGAAACCCTGAGTGCCGTTCGCATCAGTAGCGATTATTTTGCTTGCCCTATCTCCACCCCAATAGTTTCTTCCCCCAATTTTCTAAGCCCTTGTATTGGTACCCCGTGTGGTAGGCAAAATATTCTCGTTACAAAAATGGCCCCAACGTGGCTGGCGTTTCTTTAGATTTTTGTCCCTTTTCCAGAAGCAACATATCTTTTTCAATTTTTCTGCCATAATTTTTTGCCATTTTTATGAAACCCTGTCTTCCGAGTAGTGCCCCGGTGTCCCACAAACAGTTTGTTTATGTATTTGTATCAACATATGTATTGTTGTTTTTTTTTTCTATGTATTGTTCTTGTATTAACATATGTATTATTGTATATCAACAGATGTATTTGTTGTATATGGACATATGTATTGTTTTTTCTTTTATTTCGTGTACTGTAGAAATTTTTCTATATGTATTTTATGTGTATTGGTAAATGAAAGCAAATATTTTGAGAATTGAATATTGAATTTTAAGTTATTTACAGTAACAAATTAAGTGTACCGTTATTGTGCCATTTATTTTTGATTGATTTGACATTTCTTACAGAAAAATCGGTTTTTGTAATTTTGTTTTGTCCGGTCATTTTGAGTAAATGTGTTTATTGTTTGAGTGACTTTTCTTTGAGCTGATGAGTATAGTTGTGTTTTGTCTTTTGTCCTAAGCCATTTCATTGTTTCCTCTAGGCCCTCTCTGACGGCGTTTGTGTTATGCCACGGGCTAGTAGGAGACTGTGAATGTGAGAGTAGTCCCCTGTGTTCCCTGTTGTTCCCTAATTAACCAGCTTTGACGGCGTTTGTGTTATGCCACCGGTTAAATAGGAGATTGTGTTCCCCTGAGTTCCCTTTTGTGTTTCCTGTCTTGTATCTGAATGATGACAAGTGTTATACTCGTGATCGGAGGTGCTGTTTAGTTTTGCCTAGGAGCAGTCTCATTTAGTTTTCAGAACAAGAGCAAGGTTTTTTATGTTGTGTTATTTTGTGTAGCTCACTCAAAAGTCAAGTTGTCAATATTATTAGTGTTTTTGTATCACTCTGTATGTGAAGTTTATCGAGTATGTTGTTTTGTATATATTGTGTATTTGCTTTCACCCAATCATTTGTTTCAGTATTTTTGTCCCACCCTGTATGTGAAGTTCGTCTGAGTTTGTTTCGAATTGTATTTTCAGTTATATTGTGATTTGCTTTATCCAGTTTTTCGTTAAATCAAGTCTATTCCTGTCCCAAGTTAACTGCTACGATTTCCATTTTCTTCTGTGTCCAGTTTTCGAAAAATTACGTTGAAATTTAATTTTCGTCTTTTTCCTTGTGAATTAAAAAATACGTATTTGGAATGATGTCATTCCTTATTTGCCGGTATTTAAAATGTTAACGATATCAAGTTTGTTTATTCTTGTTCGTCTTAAGTACCATCCCATGTCTGAGAAAAGAATTTTGTTTACGTTAACGAAATAATTTATTTCGTATGTAGACGCTGTCCTTTCTTTAAGTGTTTATAAGTTATCTATTTCGTCTTATTGAGTCTTTGAGCAATTTATTGCATTCTAATCAGCTGTTGTACGAAGAATATAGGTCAAATTTTTTCGTATCTTTAAAGTTTAATAGTCCAGGCAATGTGTGAAATTTTTTTAGCCCCGAAAAAGAAAATGTTTCTGATTTTAACAGTCCGTGTGTTTTCGTGTTGTTTTTTGTTTTATCAGTAGGAGGAAGTAATAATACGATTTCGTTTGTCCATGGCTAAGGCCGATTTGTTAGTGACAAAGCGAAGTATTGTTATTTGCCTTATGTTTGTTATTTCCGTGTTTCCCCGAGTTTTCTTAGTTCCTATTCTGTGTTATAAGTAGGAGGAAATGATGATACAATTCCGTTTGTCCTTGGCTAAGGCCGATTTGTTAGTGACAAAGCGGAGTATTGTTATTTTTCTTTTGTTTGTTAGTCTTGTGTTTCTCCCTAGTTCTTTTTTGTGTACACGTAGAAGAGAGTGATGATACGACTTCGTGTATTCCTGGCTAAGGCCGATTTGTTGAGAATACATAGCGAAAGTATTCTGATGTTTTTTCTGTCTGTTAGTTTAGTGTCTTTCCGTGTCTTTGTGTGGTCAGATGTTGTAGTGGAGATATGTTGATGGTCTAATACGTATTAGTTTGTGATTTGAGTATTGTGTTGTTGAAATATCATATAGGACGTACAGGCATGTGACCTGGATTTGTGTTTCCTTGGATATTTCCGTTGTTGTGTAAGACTGCATAGCAGCATCCCCTTTCCGTGAATTATTAGAAAGGATAAGCCTTTCTAAGTGTTGAAGTAAGACTATTGGCGATAGAGTCTCAATAGCATTCCTTCTTGTTGTAGTGTTTGTGATGTAATGTTTTTGATTTGGCAGAAGCGGAGGTACAAATACTTGCATTGTCCATTGTGACGTTTTGTTTGCAGAGGTGAGAGTACCTGGCCGCTTATTGTGAAAGTATTGTTTATGTCGATTGTGAGACCATGTTAGTGAAACATCTGAAGTATTTCTAGTACTACCGTTGAATGACCCACTTAGAATTCGCCAGACTTATATTGTTGTGACCCTGTTCGAGTTTTGTTGAAGAATAGTAAACGTTTCTTTGTGATTTGTATGACGATGTTGTATTCAATTATTATCCGTGAAGTGATGAAGTTTATTTCTTGATGTTGTCCCTTTATTCCCTTCCCAAACTGTGTCTTTGACCTTATTAGTTGTCATAAGAGGAACGGCTAGGTCGATGAGTTTTGGATTCGTCCGCCAGGTGACCTGTTGAGCTATTAAGGAAGATAAGCATTAGTTTTTGCCTTGTGTATATTTTCTTCTTCTTTACCCTTCTTGCCCTGCTTTTGAGATTTGTGTACCCAGTTGGAAGTTTTATTGTTGATGACGGACTGTAATGATTTTTTTGTTCTTTTGGAAGATTATAGTGTTTCTTATGTTCCCTTGGAGATCTGTAGTGATGTTTTTGTTTGTTTTGGAGTGTTGTCGTAACTTTTTGTTTTCTTTGGAAGACTGTTACGATTTTTTTTTGTTTCTTTTGGAAGTATTTAGTTTGAGACTGAACTGATTGTGTATTGGTTATGGCTTGTATGCCATGTGCCCCTGTTCTTCTTCTTTTCCAAGATTGTGTTTTAGCATTTTGGATTTATTTTCTTCGTTGGTCCTTTTGGGAGTTTCCTGATTTGGAAATTTTTCGCTGTGTCGATC